AGTAAATACATATCTATCAATAATTACTTTGAATGTAAGTGGACTAAATGCTCCAATCAAAAGACAGAGGTGTACGAATATATTTAAAAACAGACCCAACTAGGTGTGCCTAGGTGGCTCAGTCGGTTAAGTGTCTGACTTTGGCTCAGGTCATGATATCATGGTTCATGAGTTCAAGCCCCACGTTGGGCTGTGTGCTGACAGCTCAGAGCCTGGAGCCTGCTTCAGATTCTGTGTCTCCCTCTCTCTCTGCCCCTCCCCAACTCGCACTCTGTGACTCTCTCTCTCAAAAACAAATAAACATTAAAAAAAACCAACTATATACTGCCTATAAGAAACTCATTTTATACCTGAAAACACCTGCAGATTGAAAGTGAGGGGGTGGAGAAACATTTATAATGTAAATGGAGGTCAAAAGAAAGCACGGAGTAGCAATATTTATATCAGACCAGCTAAACTTTAAAACAAAGACTGTTACAAGATAAAAGAAGGGTACTATATAATAGTAAAGGGGACAATCCAGCAAGATCTAATAATTATAAATATTTATGCCTCCAACATGAAAACACCCAAATATGTAAAAGTTAATAACAAGCATAAAGGAACTGATTGATAATAACACAATAATAGTAGGGGACTTTAACACCCCACTTACATCAATGGATAGAGCATCTAAACAGAAAATAGACAAGAAAACAGTGGCTTTGAATGACACTGGACCAGATGGATATAACATATATTCAGAATATTCCATCCTAAACCAGCAGAATACACATTCTTTTCAAGTGCACATGGAAAATTCTCCAGAATAGGTCTCAAGTTAGGTCATAAAACAGGCCTCAATAAATACTAAAAAGATTGAAATCATATGGTACACCTTTTTTTGACAACATTATGAACCTAGAATTCAAGCACAAGAAAATTTGTGAAGACTACAAATGCATGGAAGTTAAACTACATGCTACTAAAACTGAACCAGGGAATCAAAGAAGAAATTTTAAAAATATATGGAAATACATAAAAAGGAAAACACAACAGTCCAAAACATTGGGATACAGCAAAAGCAGTCCTAAGAGGGAAATATGTAGCAATACGGGTCTACGTCAAGAAGCAAAAGAAATCTCAAATAAACAACCTAACCTTACACCTAAAGGAGCTAGAAGAAGAACAACAAACAAAGCCTAAAGCCAGCAGAAGGAAGGAAATTACAAAGATTAGAGCAGAAATAAAGGATGTAGAAACTAAAAAACAAAACAAAAATAGAACAGATGAATGAAACCAGGAGTTGGTTCTTTGAAAAAATTAATAAAATTGATAATAAAATCACAAATGAGAGAGGAGAAATAACAACCAGCATCACAGAAATACAAACAATTGTAAGAGCATATTATGAAAAACTATGCAAACAAATTGGATAACCTAGAAGAAATGGATAAATTCCTAGAAACATATAAACTACCAAAACTGAAATAGGAATCAACATTTAGAAATCTGTTGCATTTCTATATACCAGTAATGAGGCAGCAGAAAGAGAAATTAAGGAATCAGTCCCATTTACAACTGCACCAAAACCCTTAAGATACCTAAGATAAACCAAACCAAAGAGGTGAAAGACCTGTACTCTGAAAACTATAAAACACTGATGAAAGAAATTGAAGATGACACAAAGAAACAGACATTCCATGCTCATGGATTGGAAGAAAAATATTATTAAAATGTCTATACTACCCAAAGCAATCTACGCATTTATTGTAATCCTTATCAAAATATCAATAGCATTTCTCATAGAACTTGAACAAAGAATCCTAAAATCCCACAAAAGACCTGAACAGCCAAAGCAGTCTTGAAGAAAAAACCATTCAAAATGGATTAAAGACCTAAATGTGAGACCTGAAGCCATAAAAATGGTCTTTGACATTGGCAATAGCAACTTTTTTCTAGATAGGTCCCCTGAGGCAAGGGAAACAAAAGTAAACATAAACTATAGGGGCTTCATAAAATAAAAAGCATCTGCACAGTGAAGGAAATAATCAACAAAAGTAAAAGGCAGTCTACTGAATGGGAGAAAATATTTGCAAATGACATACCTGATAAAGGGTTAGTACCCAAAATATATAAGGAACTTATAAAACTTAGTACCCCCCCCAAATGAATAATCCAATTAAAAAATGGGAAGAAGACATAAGTAGACATTTGTCAGAAGAAGACATACAGATGGCCAACAGATACATGAAGAGATGCTCAACATCACTCATCAGAGAAGTGCAACTCAAAACCACAATGAGATCACCTCACATGTGTCAGAATGGCTAAAATAAAAAACAAAATAAACAAGTGTTGGGTGAGGATGTGGGAAAAAAAGAACTCTCTTATACTGCTGGTGGGAATGCAAACTGGTACAGTCACTGTGGAAACCAGTATGGAGGTTCCTCAAAAAGTTAAAAACAGAACTGCCCTATGATCTAGCAAATCTGCTAGTTGAAAGGAATACATGCACCCCAATGTTTATAGAAGCATTATCTACCATAGCCAAACTATGGAAGCAATCCAAGTATCCATTGACCGATAAATGGATAAAGAAGATGTGATATATATTCACAATGGAATATTACTCAGCCATAAAAAAGAATGAAATCTTGCCATATGCAATGATGTTGATAGAGCTAGAGAGTATTATGCCAAATGAAATAAGTTAGAGAAAGACAAATACCATGATTTCACTCATGTGTGGTATTTAAAAAACAAAGCAAACAAGCAAAGAGGAAAAAAGAGAGGCAAACCAAGAAACAGACTCTTAACTATAGAGAACAAACTGATGGTTACTGGAAGAGAGGTGGGCGGGGGGATGAATGAAATAGGTGATGAGGATTAAGGAGTGCACTTGTTGTGATGGGCGCTGGGTGTTGTATGGAAGTGTTAAATTACTATATTGTACACTCAGAACTGACAGCACTGTATATTAACTAACTGGAATTAAAATAAAAACTTAAAAAATAGTTTTCTATTTTCCTGCTGTTCCTAAACTGGAGAAAGCAGGATTTAATCTGCCTTTGTTGTACCCATCAACCAAATGGCACCAAGAACACAGCAATAATGAGAATAGTGAGGTTTTTTTTTTTTCTTTATGCAGTGGGAAGAACACACTCCAGAGAACTTCAGAAGTACCCCAGATGGGAGGGGCATCTTACAGGGTTTGAGCTTATGCTGGATAATTTTGAAGATGGATTTAGAGAAATGGGATCAGTTCAGAATTGGGTTTCTCAAAAGGTTTTTTTAAGGAAGTGGAGGATTAAAATAGAGCTGTCACTGATAATAGCAATAATGCAAAGAAAAGACGTATCAGTTAATAGCTGATGTTTAGTCATTTGGGGGATCATGAAAGGGCTTTGTCTTTGTCTCGTTTTGAACATTGTTTTGCACTTTCTCAACATTAAAATATACTTGAAGCTGAATTAGTAAGAAATAACATTTACTGAACACACATTATACATGAAACATTCTTCCAAACAATTTACATATATTACCACATTTATTTCTCACAGAAACCCTAGGAAAGAAGTTGTTATGATCTCAGTATACAAGTAAGGAAATTAACATAGGGATCTACATAATTTGTTCAAGTCCATACTACTAAGGATACAGCCCGAATTTGAATCAAGGCATCTGTTTCCAGAGGATAAGTAGTGTACTATACTTCAGTGTCTGTATAGAGTATCTCTCCCTATATTCTTTTGCCAGAATTAAAGTTTTATTTTTAATTACTTATTTTTTTTTTCCTGCAGGAGTTATGATGACTGGTCTCAGAGTGTCCCTGTAGTCAACCAGTAGGAAAAATCAGGGAGCTATAGGAAAGGCTGCAATGCTTGACTGTGGATACAGCCAAGAATCCTTAAGCCTTTGGAAGGTTAGAAATGAGCTAAGTCACTCTGGAAAGCAGCAAACTGGGTGAGGAGAGGCAGGGAGGTCCTGTAGAAGAGAAGTGCATAAATGGGATTTGGAATCACATGGACTGAAGTCTGAATCCTTGAACCAACCATCATTCACTGGTCGTATGACCTTGTGTGCTAATTTTATTTAAATAAAAAAATTGAATACAGTTGACACACAACATTACAGGTCTACAGCATAGTGATTCAGTGATTCCACGAGTTTATACATTATACTATGCTCACCATAATTATAGTTACCATCTGGCACCATACTAGCTTTTAGAATATCATGGACTGTATTCCCATGACTTATTTATTCTATAGAAACTTGTGCCCATTTTTTCCATCCCCTCATCCCCCTGCCCTCTGTTAACCATCAGTTTGTTCTCTGTATTTATAGGCCTGTTTCTCTTTTTTGTTTGTTTATTTATCAGATTTTTTTAGATTCCACGTATGTGGTATTTGTCTTTCTCAGTCTGACATATTTCACTTTGCATAATACCCTCTAGGTCTATTCATATCATTGCAAATGGCACTATCACATCCTTTTTTATGGCTGCCTAATATTCCATTATATTGTCTATCTTGAGAAAGAACAACAAAGCTGGAGACCTCACAATTCCAGGTTTCAAGTCATACTACAAAGCTGTAGAGTAAAACAGTATGGTACTGTCACAAAAACACATAGATCACTGGAACAGAATAGAGAGCCCAGAAATAAACCCATGATTATATGGTCAATTAATCTATGACAAAGAAGACTAGAATATTCAATGTGGAAAAGACACTCTCTTCAATAAATTCTTAATCTGTAAGATAATATAAAATTTATACACCCTATAGTTTTTTTTCCTGTGAAAAATAAAAAAAAATTAAAAAGTACATCAAGTACTTTAATACAGTGTTTTGTACAGTATGGTTCTCTAGTACCATAGAGTAGGGGCTAAGTGATTAATAAGTGGTAAATATTTATATTAACTGATACCAGCATTCTGAAATCTCTATAAGCACCTTGAGTTCTCTTTAGTCAGCCAGTTTATATCCCTTGATTCTCTTCTCTCTGTCTTCCAGGTGGTGTTTCATTTGTTAGTGAAGACATAGAAGGGTTAAATCACCTTCTCTACTTATTTTACCTGAATTCCAGTTATCGGTCCTGTGTGGGGACTCTGATTGCCCCTCAGTGGGTGTTGACGGCTGCACACTGCTTCTTACCGTAAGTGATGGGGATCCATCCACTCTGTTCCCAGGCTCCGAGGCTGGGCCTCCGCACTTCTTGTGGGAATTCTAAAAACTTTGTGGTCAAGAAATTCTAGGACTATCATGGTAAAAGGGAGTTCAGCTACTCAGATACAACTTGACTAAGGAATGTTCCACATTCTTATGTTTGACATGTCCCAAAAGGAAAAGTAATACGGTGTAATATGATACCTTACATATAGGTAAAGATAACTTTGCAGGTCACTCTTTTTTTAAAAAAATATTTATTTATTTATTTTTGAGAGAGATAAAGAGTGATCAGGGGAGGGGTAGAGAGAGAGGGAGACAGAATCCCAAGCAGGCTCTGCACTGTCAGCACAGAGCCTGTTGCGGGGCTCCAACTCCCCAACTGTGAGATCATGACCTGAGCAGAAATCAAGAGTCGATGCTCAACTGACTGAGCCACCCAGGCACCCTGACCTTGCAAATCATTCTTAATGTTTTTAGGATTCATCCAAAATGTTAGGGATATTATTATATTTCATTTTTCATTACAGTATAGTATTTAAATGTGACTATCACAATTTGTTCATTCTTTTCTTGGTAGACATTTGAGTTATTTCTAGGTTTCTGCTATTGTGAATGGTTACTGTAATCATAGTTGTACCATGTACCTTGGAAGGTATTCTCATGTGTATATCTGCAATACACACACACACATATAGATGTATATATATACACATATACATACATACATATCGGTGTATCTGCAACAACATCTCCTGGATGTCATAGAAGATGCAAATGTTCACTTTACACATCCTCCAGCAATTTAGAAGCATTTTCCAGTAATGAGTATTGTCCAACTTTTTTATTATTTTGCTGATTGTGTTAAATTTCTTGTTATGCTCATAATTTTATTATCTTTACTAGTAGCGATGATTGGCTTATTTTTTTCTTCTTCTCCTTGTCCTTCTCCATCCTCTTCCTTCTGCTATTAATATTTCTTCTGGGAAATATTCTTTCATGTTTTTTGAACATTTTGTGACTTTTCAAAAAAAATTGCTTTGTAGAACTTCTATAAATGCCCTAGATATAACTCTTTTGTCAATTATGTATGTTGAAAATATCTTCTTTGTGGCTTGATCTTCTCTTTAATGGTGTATTTTGATTAATAAGAGCTCTTCATTTGACTGTAATATGATTTAACACTTAAATTATCAATCTTTATTTGTGGTTGTTGGGTATTGTGATTGGTTGAAAATATTCTTTATGACATCAAGATCAGAAAGATATTTCTTTAAGGTTATTTCTAGAGATTCTAAAGACTTGATTTTATATTTAAGTATTTATATCATTTGGAACTGATTTTTGTGAATGCTGTGAATTAGGGATCCAGTTTTGTTGTTTTTAACATAGTAAGCTAAATATCCACATGCCATGTATCTAATGGTCTCTTCTTTCTCCAACAACCTGCAACACCACTTCTGACATCTATCAAAATTCTTTATTTTTGCATGGGTCTGTTTTGGGTCTCTCTGTCTCTGTACTGCTCCTTTGGGTTATTTATTATAGACCAATTCCACAGTGTCTTAAAAATTATGACTTTATTATAATTTGTGATGTCTGATAGGGTAGGCCAACCATGTTTTTATTTATCAGGAACACTTAGGTATTCTTTTAAATAACTTTTCAAGCTTTATGAAAAACTCTGTTGTGATTTATTTGGAATTGCTTTAGCTCTTTGTATCAGCTGGGGAGAATTGATATTTTTCTGATATTGATTATTCCCAGCCATGGATCTGGCATATCTCTCCACTTATTTAGCTTTCCCTTTAATGCGTTTCAAGAAATTTATTTTATCTGAATACATGTCTTGCACATATCTTATTAAATTTATTCTTAAAGTGCTTTATATTTTGCTATTATATTTTAATTGATGTACTTTCAGAAAATTATATTTTCTACTTGTTAGTGATGATGGAAATGTAATTGGTGTTCATAAATTGATCTAATGGCTTGTTGCTTTGTTATATTCTCCTGTTTCTAGTAATTTATATATATGTTCCTGTGGATTTTCTATTTGCCATCTTTGAAAAGGGCCATTTTCATTATTATTTTAATTCTAAATAATTTTTAAAAATTTCCTCATGATTAAATCTTTCATCCATAAGTTTAGAATATGGAGGGGTAAATTTTGAGGGATAACTTTCCAAATTAAAAAAAAATTCTTTGGGTTCTAGTTTAATTGTTTTTGTGGTCAGAGAGTGTGATCTATGTGATACTAATTCTTTGAAAAGAATTGGGACTTGCTTTTCAGACCAGTATCAAGTCAATTTTTGCAACCCCCCATGTTATGAAAGAATGTATACTCTCTAATTTTAGGGTAGAAGTCTCTCTATATATCAAACTTCAATTGTGTAGTTTAAGTCTTTGGTATCCTTACTATTTTTGTTTTTGTTTTTGTTTTTTTTTTTTGCTTAATAAATCAATAATTGAGAGATTTAAGTTGAAATATTCTTCTGTATTAGTAGATTGAGCAAAATAGACCTATAACTTTATTACTTTTTTAAAAAATGTTTTTTAGGGTATTTTATTAAATATATGTAAATTTAGGTACATTTATAATGTAGGTACTTTGTGTACATTCCCAATAAATCAAGGCTATTACTGTATGTCATTACTTTCTCTCATATATATAATATTGTTTGTCTTAGAGCCTATTTATCAGATATTAACATGCCAATCCTGGTTGGTTGCTTGGTTGGTTAGTATTGTCCTGGTATATCATTTTACATCTTTACTTTTCTGCCTTTCTGTATCTTTTTTATTTAAGCACATCTCTTAATTTACATATATCAGGATTTCTAAAAATACAGTTTGTAATTTCTGTCTTTTAACTGATGAGTTTAGGCCATTTGTATTTATTTTGATTATTATTATACTCAGATTTTTTCTACCTATTTTGAATTTCTACTCTTTATATTTGTGTGAAAATGCTTTTGCCCTTTTACTTGATTAATATTTTAGATACCTTTTAATTCTTCTTTCATTTTTGTTGTTGAATATACATATGTCCTATTCTTTTAGTCATTGCTTTATAAATTTTAATATGGAAATTTAATGTAACAGAATTCAAAGTTAAACAATATCCAAATGCCTTCCTTATACCCCTTCTTCATTATGGTCCATCCATATCCCTCAGAGGCAACCACTATTCTCTTGTTTTTCCACCATAGTTTAGTTTTACATGTCATAGAGCTGCCTTAAACTGAAATGCACTCACTATAATTTGCCTGAATCATCTATTTATCATAAATTCTTTAAAATATAAACTTCTGCAATTACTTATAAATATATTTTATGATAAGTCACAAAATTTCTTAACAGAAGGAAAAAAGGGAAATAGAGGAAGGATAAAATATTAGAGGGCACTAGTTTTAGTTATTAAATCAACACTATAAACATGAATGACTTTCCTTCAGCAAGAAAGGAGAGTAATCTTAGAAACAGAAAAAGCCAATTTGACACACAAGACACACAAGAGAGTTGCTAAAACTGATTTAAACAAGTTTGTTTATTTATTTTGAGAGAGAGAGAGAGCACATGCATGGGAGGGGCAGAGAGAGAGAGAGGGAGAGAGAGAGAGAAAAACCCAAGCAGGCTCCGCACTGTCAGCATGGAGCCTGATGTGGGGCTGGAACCCATGAACTGTGAGATCATGCACTGAGCCAAAATCAAGAATTGGATGCCTAACTGACTGAACCACCCAGGTTCAGTTGTAGAAGTTGTATAATTTAAGTTGTATAATTAAACCCAGTACTCATTAATTCCCAGTACTCATTAATTCCCAAGGTATGGAAATGGAGGGACGAGGGTCATTAAGTGATCTCTCATTTAGAAAGATAAAAGAGAAAGAATCTTATCATGAAGGCTTCTTTCCTTTTTGTTCTAATGTATCTGTCAAATGAACAACCTTGCTCTTGTCAAAAGTTCCTCTGAGGGGCGACTGTACTTTCTTATTGTCCTTGGGGAATTATGCCAACTGGAGAGCTATCACATGAATTTAAACACAAAGGGAGCATGTGTTTGGTACAAAGAACCAAATAGACTAAGATGATCCAATGAGAACTATAACAGTCAGTTACGATACCCTGGCCAAAGACCAGTCATCCCCATCTAAGCACCTAGCAGAATCCTTCACTCCAAGCAGATGAAACTAAGTGTGGTAGTTCTCAGGAACACAACAAAACTAAGGAAAGTCCTTAAAATGTATAATATCTTGTAAAAGCGAGCCAAAGCAAAATTTGTCTAAAGGATGCTGCTCTGATGAGATCTTTTAAACTTGTCAGTCCTTGGGATTGACTGAAGGATGAATTTATCAGGCCTATTTCTGTCCTCTCTCTTTAGACTTTATCTGATAACTGTCCATAAGGCGACAAAGACAGACTGAGAGACAAATGGTACTGTTGTTAGGAGACAATATAAACTTAGCATTTGGGAGCTCAACAACAACAAAAATTGATGCTCAGTACCAGTGTGGTACCTATCTCACTGTTGTCACTAGAGAAATCCCTGAGTGACTGACTCAGGGGCCTCACAGGAGTGCCCTGTTCTGAATTTCGGGTTAAAAAAAAATTTTTTTTAACATTTATTCATTTATGAGAGACAGAGAGCACAAGCAGGGGAGGGGCAAAGAGAGAGGGAGACCACAGACTCCAAAGCAGCCTCCAGGCTCCGAGCTGTCAGCACAGAGCCCAACGCGGGGCTCAAACTCACAAGCTGTGAGATCATGACCTGAGCCAAAGTCAGACGCTTAACCGACTGAGCCACCCAGGTGCCCCTGAATTTAGGGTTTTGAGCCATGTTAGTGAGAGTGGATCTCAACTGGATCTCAGTGGAAAACCAGGATCTTTGACTACTCTTTTCCCAAAGATCTACCGGAAGACCCTGTTAATCCAGCAGTTTTGATAGACATGAGTAAAGCATAGTATGTTCAGGTGATCCTCCATACCTTTAAAATATTTAACCTCTCGAAGCTGTTACTCATTTCCTCTTTACAATTTCACATTTCCTGTTTCCCCAACTCCCAAAGAAGCTTCCCTAACAGAACCTACTACTTTCATAAAAGCCTTGACTATCCATTTGCATGCTTCTTTCTGCTGTTTCTAGGTCTTGAATTGGAGCTTCTCTCGAGAATTATGCTAAGAGTAGGGCCCAAGCCATTGCACTGCTTAACTCCTGGAGGCACCATCCCTATGTGAATGGTAACCCATTGACTTGTATAGTGCATCACCTGCATGACCCCATGTGGCACCTACATATAAAAGATCAAATGGACAGGGGCACTGGGTGGCTCAGTCATCTGAGCGTCTGACTTTGGCTCAGGTTGTGATCTCATGGTTTGTGGGTTCGAGCCCTATGTCAGCCTCTGTGCCAATAGCTCAGAGCCTGGAGCCTGTTTTGGATTCTGTGTCTCCTTGTCTCTCTGCCCCTCCCCTGCTCGCGCCCTCTCTCTCTCAAAAATAAACATTAAAAAATTTAAAAAAGATCAAATGGGCAAACATGAGAGGAAAAGATTAAATGGGTTACTATAGAAGGAAATTGTGTGTGTGGGGGGGGGGGGGCGCGGTGATTAGCCTTGTGACCTGTGAGTGTCAATCCTTTTTTTTTTTCTTTTTCATTTTCCAGAGATCTTTGGGTCATCTTTCATGATAGTTCCGCAAATCTTCGAGACTTTCTTGGGGAGATTTTACCTTATGAGAAGATCATTATTCACCCAAACTTCACTGCCACGTCTCCTAAAAATGACCTCATGCTGATAAAGTTGTCTGTACCTTTCACTTTCTTCTCCACCAATATGTTTCAGTTGCCTACTCTCAAGAATGCAGTTAAAGATTGCTTGATTCACACCTGGTTACAGACTAAAGACTTTATTGGTGAGTGACTATCAAAAAGAAGAGACAGTTCTAGGATATATTCACATCTTCAAGATCTCTGAGGAATTAGGGGAAGGAATTGGAACTTAGAGGCCTAGTGTCAGATTTCTAAGCCTGTGTGGAAAACTAGAAATGGCACGAGCGGTATTGGCTTTCTACAGGAGAAGAGATGATCTTTTGGGCCTTGAGAATCGATTCCTAGATCAAGGTGTTACATGTGTGTATCCCATTGGCACACCCTGCAGGGACTGGAACTCAGGGATCTATGTTTGAGTATTGGTTCTACCATTCATTGTAGGTTTATGAACAAATTCTTTAACTTCTTTGGATCTTAATTTGCAAATTGGTAAAAAATCCTACTTTCCCTTGACCTAACAGGAGTGATATTGTTATCAATTACAATGATAATGACTACCATTTGCTGATCGCTGATTACCTACCAAGCACTAAGCATCCTATAGATATTATACAGTCGTCATCACATATCATGTAGATAAGTTTTCTTGGGATTAATACCTTATAAAAGAGGAAACTAAGACTTTGGGAAATTAATTATCCAAGATCATGAACTTGGTGATGACAGAGCTTGGATTCAGATCTTGTTTGATGTGTGGAGTATCTTCTCACCAACCATCCCTTGATGCTGATCATCTTTCAGAGATGATAAACAGAGCAGGAGGATGTGTTTGACCCATGGTGTGTTCCATCAGTTCTTCTGCAGTCCATTCTTACTGAGAAGAAGGCTTGAAGGAGAAGGAGGTAGGATGCCTTATGAAAAGGCAAACGGGAATGAAAGTCTCCTTTATTTCTTGTGCTTAGGAAATTCACATAGTAAGCTGCAAAGTGTCACGGCTCAATTGAACTTTAATGTAAACTGCAAAAAAATACTGGGTGAAAAACTTCTTGAAGACATGTTCTGTATGGGACCCATGCTAGGAAGTCAGGATCACTGCCAGGTAAGTCTTCTTACCTCATTTGTGCATAAACTCAGTCTCTGTGTCTCTCCTCCTTCATCGAGGGTCCATCTGGATTTTTCAGTAGGCTAGGAGCTCAGAGAATAAGGGGGTAAAGAATGATGACTCTTCTCCACCCTGTGATAGAGACAAGAGAAATAGATTTTCAAGGAGTGGAAAGCTGTCTTCCAGATAGTTCTTTGAAATATCTGTTTAGGGATGAGTGGGAGGTATAAGGGTAGTTAGTGCATTGGAAAGAAGCTTTCATACTAGATTCTTATATCCTGGACCCCTTTGCATGACAAATATAGTGGCTTTCATTTTTGTTCAGGTATGAAATCTCAGGTGGTAAGGAAGTTCTCATTCCTGTACTCTATCTGGCAGGTGGTCACAGCTGCACCAGCCATATGTGGCGGTGAATTACAAGGGATTTTGTCTTGGGAAACCGGATGTATTCTAACAGGATACATTGTTGTCTTCACTGACCTACACAGCTACGTGCCATGGATCAAGAACATTATTTCTACAAAATAAGCTGATGTAGAGCTCTACTGATACCCTTACCTCCCAGCTGATCCACGGCAACCACATTATGTATCACAGTCCCAGTCTTTCCTAGGATCTAGGCTTGATTGGAGTTTCAAAAAAGATCATTGATGATTCCTGGGTGTTGGCATGACTCTAGTCTCTCTTTTTATTTTATTTTTTTTAACATTTATTCATTTTTGAGAGACAGAGAGAACATGAGTGGAGGAATGGCACAGAGAGAGCGAGACACGATCTGAAGCAGGCTGCAAGCTCCGAGCTGTCAGCACAGAACCCAGCCTGGGGCTCCAACTCATGGAGCACGAGATCATGACCTGAGCTGAAGTCAGATGCTTAACTGACTGAGGCACCCAGGCATTCCTAGTATCTCTTTTTAAATGTTATTTACTTTTGAGAGAGAGCGCATGTGTGAGAGAGAGCAGGGGAGGGACAGAGAGAGAGGGAGACAGAGAATCCAAAGCAGGCTCTGTGCTGTCCAGCGCAAAGCCCTATGTGGGTCTCCAACCCACAAATTGTGAGATTATGACCTGAACTGAAGTCAGACACTCAACCGACTGAGCCACCCAGGCACCCTGACTCTAGTCTCTTTAATGTTCCTAACACTGAAAACATGAATGCTGGCCTCAAGAAGTGGAGTTCACCCAGGAAGCTTTTGGGATTCTACCAATTCAAATATTTCTGTTACAATACTCCCTGCCATATCTTAAGAACACAAAAAACGAGTGGAAATGAGGGATAATAACTACCAAGAGTTTATTTGAGCGAAGTGTAAACCACATAGCTGAGCAGTAATTTGCCAAAAGTTGGCCAGATGATTAGCAATTTTTCTAATGACCAAGTGTCTCCTGGGTATGTGTATGCGTGTATGTGTGTGCACGTTTGTGTGTACAGGTGGTGCAGTTAGTTTCCATTAGTTACTTAAAAGATCTATAGAATTCAAGTTTGCCTAGGTTTACTGAGGCCACCCAAAGGTCTTTGTAATATTTGGAATAAGGATTTCTGTATTTAGAACTATAGCTGTAATGCATACTCATAAATGATAGATGAGGTTTTTTTCCAGGACATTTTCCTTCCAGTTTATTGCTTTTTAAATCACACATACTTTCTTAAAGGGGTACAAAGTGGTGGAATTCATGAGGATTTTGCCTTGGAGTTTTCATAACATGCCCCTGAATACAACCTTCGATACGACGTGTGAATTCATGAGCACACACTTCCATCCACAAGCACACTCAAAAAACACTTGTCATTCCAAAAATGTGTTCTCTACATATTATTTTTCTTTAGTTCATGATAGATTAAACTGATTTTAAACTAAAGCCTATTTTCATATAAAATATTGACTCTTCAAGAAATTTGTGCCTGAAATGTGAAATGCATTTTTGTTTTTCCCATGCTGTGAAATGTTGGGATTTCCTAAAATTAAAATTGCCACCCAGTTGATTAAATCACATACTTTTCCAAAGATTCAGAAAACTAAAACAGTTTTCTTTTTAAGACTCTTATGGGGATCAGAGATAATGTGGGAAACGTTTTGTATGCAGAGGAATAGTATAGGGATTGGCAGCGGTTAGTAGTTTTGACAGTTTCCACCTGTTTCACCCTTTTGCCTATTTAATTCCTACTACTCCAAGTTGCTAACAATCCTTTTCGCCTTTATCATATGCCAGGCTGTCTATTGTCATCAGCCGGCTGAACTTGTTGCAACTGAACTTTTTACTGAGATGATCTTCCTAACAACCTACCCTGATTCCTGTCCTTTGTTTTTTTTCTTGCCTCTTACCTAGAGCTCTTACTGTCTCCATTCCACTGCAGTTGTTCTAGGCTGAATTGGATGTTTTAATTATAAGCCTTTCCTTATTGATTAGGTCATAAATTCTTCCATTATTGGGCATTTTTACTTCTTTATATTTTCTGGACTTGAGTTTTCCTTGTATGAGTTTTCCTTCTCTCCATCTCATCTCACTCCTCAATTTGAAAAGGAAAAGGTAAGTCTGTCTCTTCAGCTGTCTGTCTATCTATCTATCTATCTATCTATCTACCGATCTATCCATCTAATCAACATCTCATCATCATCTGCTTGTCTAACCGAGACTGGGCTGTTTTTCGCACGACTAATTTTTGGAGTGTGCAAATACGTTTCTAATTATCCTGTCAATTTCACCTAAACTCCAATTCTGCATATGACTGGTTCCAAAGACTATTTTAAGTTAGTTTACCAAGAATTTCACGTGTCACATCCACCTTCCCCTCCTGACATTCTTGGGTACATAATTTTATTTATATATTACTTCAAAATCCTTTCTGAATTCATGTGTATATGTTACATATTTGGCTTCTATTTACCCCTCACTTATTTATTCATCTTAGACCCATTCCAGCTTCCTGGGGAGTTCATTCAGAAATCTGTTTCTGGGTCTTCAGGTCTATTGTTTCCCTGGGTAAACTATTGTAACCTCACCATACTTGCCGACCACTTAATGCTTCTGGCATCACAGTTTTTCTTCCTCAGTCCATGTCCTTCTTTGGAGGAGATTGATATCCAGTTTCAGTAGGCTGTGGTTCAGTTCTTAGCCTAGAATTGACAAACTATAAATTTGGGAAATCAATGAGCTTTGATTTTTAGATTGGCTTTATGTATAAAACAAAAAGAGTTAGACTGGATGATCTCAGTAACGGACACTGTAACTACCCTCCCACAGTCCTCTCCACCCCTCCTCTGTTAGGTCACAGTCATCCCCTAGGGTGCAGTCTGACCTAAACTTATCAGTGAGCTCCCTGTGTCTGGCTCAGGGATGGATATATGATGCAATTTGGCTTATGAAACATCAGTGTCTTAATGTTCAGTGTTGAGATAACATTGTAATGAGCTCTGTTGAGACCTTGTGTGGGCAGTGTGGCAGGTGAATGAGACATCAGAATTGCTGCTGTCGGGGAAGCTGCCTAAGGATCACATGCATTCACAGGGGAAGTCGAAACAAGAGAATGACCCAGAAATGTAGCTGTAGCTGAAGTCCTGATTAAACCATTCCAGAATTTAAGTCTTTTCTCTGGATAGTTTTAGTAATACAATCTACTACTAAATTCCTTTCAGTGTTTAGGACAATTTGAGTTGGGCTTTCTGTTGCTATAATTAAAAACATCTCCAGGAATACAGTTTCCAAGTCCCTTCTGTCTCTGCTATCAATCTAGACTAATGTGTGCTAAATGCCCGATGTATCCATTCTTATTAATTTTCAGAAATACCTGTGGGCTCATTTTTATTAGACATAAACATTATGCATCTTCTCAAATTTTTAGTTTTATTCATTATAGTCAGAAAATACACTTTGAATGATTTCAGTCTTTGTAACCTTATTGAGACTTGTGGCCTAACATGACCTATCTTGGATAATGTTCTGTGTGCACTTGAGAAGAATGTGTATTCTCTGCTTTTGTTGGGTGGAGTGAACTCTGTTTGTTAGGCCTAGTTAGTTTATTTTATTATTCAAGTATTCTATTTCCTTACTAATCTTCTGTTTACATGTTTTACTGAAAGTGACATAATGAAGTTCTTCCTTCAATTTTGTTAATATTTGCTTCATATAATGTGGGTCTTTGTTGTTTGGAACATATATAATCATATTTTTTTTGCTAAATTGAATTTTTTATTAATATATAATGTCTTTTGTCTCTTGCAACAGTTTTTGACTCAAAGTCTATTTTGTCTGATATTAGTATAGTTACTTTAGCTCTCTTTTGGTTAGTATTTATATGGAGTATCTTCTTCCATCTGCTCAACCTATTTGTGTCTTTGGATCTAAAGTGAATTTCATGTAGCTTATGAAAGAAATTGAAGGATACCCAAAGAAATGGAAAAATATTCCATGCTTAAAGATTGGAATAACAAATATTGTTAAAATTTCAATACTATCCAAAGCAATCAACACATTCAGTGCAATCCCTACCAAAATAGCACCAGCATTCTTCACAGAGCTAGAACAAACAATCCTAAAATTTGTATGGAACCACAAAAGACCCCAAATGGCCAAAGTAATGTTGGAAAAGAAAACTAAAGCTGGAAGCATCCAAATATCAGACTTTTAACCTGTATTACAAAGCTGTAATCATCAAGACAGATGGTATTGGCATAAAAACAGACACATATCAATGGAACAGAATAGAGAACCCAGAAATGGACCCACAAATACATGGTCAACTAATCTTCAACAAAACAGGAAATAGTATCCAGTGGAAAAAAGTCTCTTTAGCAAATGGTGCTGGGAGCACTGGACAACAACATGCAGAATGAAACTAGACCACTGTCTTACACCATACACAAAAATAAATCCAAAATGGGTGAAAGACCTAAACGTGAGACAGGAAACCATCAAAATCCTAGAGAAGAAAACAGGCAGCAACCTCTTTGACCTAGGCTGCAGCAACTTCTCACTTGACATGTTTCCAGAGGCAAGGGA